ATAATAATTTAAAAAGGCTGGGGATGTGGTTTCGTGGTTAAGCACCCCTGGGTTCAATCCCTGGAGCCAAAATGAATTAAAGAGTAAAGACTAGACAAAAAAAAATTTGAAAAAGACTAATGGGATGTGTTTAGTTCCATCAGATATTAAAAGAGTGAATCTATGATAATTAAAATCATGTAGTTTCGTCTCCTTTGTCAATGAAATCATCCATGAGGGCAGAGAAATCATAGCAAAATCTTTGCAGTGGCCAATGTCTGTTGCATTTCAAATCTGTAAAGGAGAAAATGGAGAATTCACTAAATGGTTTAGGGTGTATGAAATTATCCTATAAGGAAAAAAAATTACACTTGGTATATAGGAATCTCTTCTCGCCACTAAATATAAAGAGTGGGATCAAGAAAATAGCCATTAAAGATTTAAAAGACTCAGAATAAAGTAAAAAAATCATGTCTGCTAATCCATGTTGCAACCCAAGGGTGCTCTTTAATATGTAAAGAGTTCCTACAAATCAATAAGAAAAGAAACTGATGGCATACACAAATGAACAAAGGGCTTATTCAGTTTCCAGGAACGGTGTGCACATTGCTTTTTGTACACCCAACCTCCTTCCTAAGACACATGTGAGAATGTGAGCCAGTTGATTTGATCTTGTTTTCCACCAAAGCCCTGGTGGAATTCATTCGAAAGTTCTCGGATCCGCCAGGAAATCATTTGAGGTATTGCAAATCTGCTGCGTGTCTGTGGAACGATTTGGCAATGGGCATGAACAGGCTGCAGAACCCTTTTAGCTTCACAAAGCCAGACATTCATGACAACGTGCCCACTGAAACGGGGTCCCCGTAATGTACTTCCAGAGGCATTCACGGTCGTAGGTGCTCAGTGGGACATTCTTGGCAACTGCTTAATGTCATTGCAACCAAAGTTCTGACTGTTGGAAAGAATGACAGGGACCGTCTCTTTGCTCACCAACAGCCTCTGGTATGTAGAAAAAGTTCTGTGAATATTTGCAGAATAAAGCACAGAGAATCTTAGAAAAGGAGGACGTTTCCAATAAGAAGTCAGATATTATGTACATTATGGTGATCCATTAAATACGACCCTTTTCCTTGGAACAAAAGGGGAACACACTCGGTAGAAGTGGCCTTTTGAACCTGGAAGTGTGATTGGCCTCCGGGGCTGGCGATATGCGGCAGGTACCTCTCCTGTGACACAGGGAGGTGGGGGGTGTGGCTCCTGACAGCCACAGGATCCTGGCCACAGATGCCCCTGCCTTCCTGCTGGTCTACCAGGTGACCGGATAGGTGTACTCCACCGTGTTCATCTTATGACACTTGCCACTTCATGACAAGTTCTTCCTGTTAGGGAGCATCTGGGTGCTGAAGAGTTATCTGGGTGAAGAGGAGCATCTGGCTACTGGGAAGTATCTGTGTGCAGAGGAGTATCTGGGTGCAGGGGATTATCAGAATGCAGGGGAGTATCTGGATGCAGAGTAGTATCTGGGTGCAGAGGTGCATCTGGGTGCAAGGGGAGTATCTGGGTATGGGGGGTATCTGGGTGCAGGGGAGTATCTTGATGCAGAGTAGTATCTGGGTTCAGGGGAGCATCTGTGTTCAGGGAAGCATCTGGGTGCAGGGAACATGTGGGTGCAGGGGAGCATCTGGGTGCAGGGGAGCATCTGGGTGTAGGGAGCATCAGCATCTAGATGCAGGAGAGTATCTGAGTACAGAGGAGCATCTGGGTTCAGGGAAGCATCTGGGTGAAGGGAGCATCTA